TGTAGGTTTTGTGATTAACTAACCTCAATATTTGTCTTTCAACATATTTTACATGTTGATAGAGGAATGGTTTAATAACTTACTTGTGAGGGAAGATTGCAAATGAAAAATATCTAAACTGAATGCAAAATGGAACCTTCACATTCTGTGAATTTCTTCTGTGAATTAATTTCACAGGTTACCTTACCTGACTATTATTTATTATGTTAATCTACTCTCTCAAAAAGTTTGAGCAATTCTCCCGAAGACTGGATTTAGGTGCAGCTCATTTAGATAAAAGTAGGTCAGCTTCTGGCAAAACAGTTCTGATGTCCATTTTTAAAAGTGTGATTTTTACTTCGAAATCCTTTCTGTTCTCTCCTCTGCCTTTTCCTTCTTAGAAATATTACACAACATTTCCTTAGGCCTTTATCCAGAGCAAGAAAGAAGTTACAATAAACTAGATACAGTGTTTTCTTCATACCAGGAAAACAATATGAATGACTGAAGCCTGCAACTCAGGATGAACAGATAATCTTTAATCACTGCATTTCCACATTCTTGCTTTTTTACGTGTCGTGTTTTACCTGTTTCTTTTCAAGGTCACTTTAACGTTAGGATTCAGGGGATGGCATTCTGAAATCATTTATTTTTAGATAGTAAGATCTAAAGTAAGATGTCTAAAGCCTGACACATTCATCAGAGCATTTTAAACTGTGTCAGTTTAATTGTCCTTCTGGTAAACGGGGGAGAAACACTTGACTCATTTGACATTTGGGTGTGGAGAATTATGCAGCCTAGTTATTAGAAAACAAAGTGTGGAATTTGACTTATTCAAGGCAGTAGTGGGAAAGTTCTGACTCTTAAGTCATAATGGCTTGTTATAATTGAACTGTTTTTTTTTTTAAGCCCGGGTCCTGAAAATGGGTCAGTTTTGAAATGGGATGATAATTCTCCAGGTTGATACCCTTTAAAATGGCCAGGTTTGGAATTAAACATTGACAACAGCGTCTAGCCACTGGTGAAAAGTGTCAGGTTTATATTTGACACTCATGCAAATAAATGTGAATTTAAGAAAAATATCATCTAGGAGAGGGATCTTTTAAGAAGCAACAGAGATTTTCTAAACAATACAAGCAATTGAACTAGCAAAGAACCAAGTGGCTTCTTGTTCATAAACCTTCTTGTGCTTTCATAAAACGAAACAGCTCTGTACCTGAATGGCTTGTACCAAAAGAGGTGGTATTTCAAAGTGTGCATCACAGATCATACTGTATGCTAATTTTAGATATTCAGGTCACAGCCTTCAGTAAAGCATTATATAGTTAAAAAAATATATACTGTATGTCGTTTTTCTTACTTTGAAAATTCATCTATGCTGCTTGCAAAATACAGAAATAAAACCTTTGAAAATGATTTTCACAGCTGCTAATTGTGTAGTCATAGGTTGGGGAGCAATTTGTTTCAAAGTGTTAACTGTAAAATAATTATACCTGTATCTGCTCTTTTACTTTCTCTATTACTTTACTTCAATTGCAACTAGAGAGATGCACTTTCCAGGAGGTCAGGGTTGGAGAGAGGTTTCATTCAAAACTCATACTCATTACATTTGCAAATGTTAATGGATTGCAACTGTTATTGGTTTGAAAAGATAAAGAACCTATTTTGAATTGCTGAGGTGGGTTAAGTTTTGCATAGCCAGACAGCTTAGGATGAATATAAAGACTTCAGAAGAAAAAAACAGCATATTACTAGGGTCTTTTGTGCATAGGGAAAAAAAAGTGTTGAAAGTAAATAAGGCTAATTTCATAATCTGCTAATTCTCTTGCTTTCCCTTCAGGTGCCCTGTTGTTGGATGTGGTAACACTGATGTAACAAAGTCAGACCTGGTGCCAGATCCTACAATGAAGAGGCTCATTCAGAACCAGAAGAAGCTCAGCACAAAGTCACAAATGTGAGGCAGGAACCTGCACAAACGAGTGTGCAGAAGGCTTTGTTTGAAACAGGAGCAAGCTGCTGGAACCAGTGCCCTTTCACCAATAGTCTCGGACAGTTTGAAACAGAGGGAAAGAGCTGTCAGTTCAGTCACATAATGGAACTCTAAGAGGAGGCAAGCAGTATTGGATGGACACGAAAAATGTCTGCTTTAAGCATTGTATGCTTGGTGTAATTCGTGTAATTTGAGGCCTGGCAGTCATGTAAAAATCACATCGGGAAAACACAGTGGTACCCCATCCTGTTACTTACATTATCATCATCATTTGGTTGCCAAAATTTATTTTTTTGCAGCGTCCCAGCTGTCTGAGTGAATTTATAAAAGATGGAATTCCAAGACTTAAAACAAATTTGTATAAACTCTGTTTTTAGCACTCTGCAGTGCTTTTTGACATGAGTTAATAAGCAGTTCAAAAGTTTCATGTATTAAAAATGGACACTTTGTTCAACGACACCCCACTGAGCCTTCTTAGTCATTAGCTGTGATTGTACAGAGATCTGTGTTAGTGTCAGCCTTGTGTTGCATATTCTATCAAAGATCACTCTTCACCATCTGATTAATGCAGACCAATCCCTTTACGGTCAGACTAATAGAATTGTCCTGTTTCAAAGAAATTCCTTTATAAAAATGCAGGTTACTAAGTTTGCACTTAATAGTTATGAGTAATGTGTAAAGGTAATGTTGAGCCTACGGTAAACTTCATTACTTGTTTCCATTTAATTTACCCATGCATTTCATTGTTTAAAAAGAGAAATAAGAAAACAGTTGACTTTTAACATCCCCAATACTATTTGCAGATATTTCCTCTGTTTAAATCTCCCTTGGCTGATAATTAAAAAAACAGGGAAGAGCTGAGTTTCAGAGGACCCGTTGACATTAGATGTGAGATTTTTTCTTTCAAAACAGAAAACAATTGTTTCCTTATTTTTAAGTTTCTTACCACATCACGCCATATGTCATTTGCATTAATGAATGATTCAGAACACGAAAATGTGTTTTTTTTAACTGATTAAAGTAAGTTAACAAAAAGTCACTGATTATTTCTGGCCCCTGGCCATGCAGCTTTTTAAACAAAAGATGACAGACTGAAAGTAACAGCTTTGAAAATGAAAGTAGCACTGCCTTCTTATCTAAAGGAAAGACAGACCTGTTTCACAGTGGTTATGCTGCATGACAGAGATGTGCTTCAGTTTGTGAGTCAACAGTGAAAAAAGGACAAAAATGCACGATGTCTAAAATTAGATGTATAATCTGTTGTGTACTGTGCCTTGTACTCCATTCAATACTGATTGATTCCATAACCAGCTGTCAGCTTAGTACTGTGGATTTTGTGTGTGCTCAGAAATTAGCAATAGTGACACAAAAAATCATTTTTATTAATTTTGCATTTGTTTTTTATTGTTTCAGTTCTGTTTCTGTTTGATTTGATATGTTCGCAAATGCACGTTCACCTGTTCAGAATGTTTTAGATTTTTCTGACCCATTAAAAAAAAAAAATAATAATAATGTAGTCCCCACCAGTGATTTTATTCATTGGATACATTCAGTTTTCCATTGAATGCCTTCTTTTATGCTTAATGTGACGGTCTAAACTGGGGAAGGGCTGTTACCCAGCTGTGTTCAGAGGGTGCAGACTACCCCGCTACACTGGTGAAAGCAGTGGCCAATTTACTAGAAATAACAACACCCAAGAATGAAGCGTTCTGAAAGGATTACGGAATGTTTCAGTCGAAATCTGGCTTAACCCGCTTGGCTGAGGGCAGACCTCCTGGCCAGAGCAGCAGGAGGAGGAGGAGGAGGCTGGGACCCCCTGCAGAGTGAGGAGTGACCTGGGGGCAGCTGCAGAGGGGGAGACACACATGACACTCCCCACACGATCTTGGGCAAAAGGCCGAGAGGGCTGTAGAAGTGGAGATGGGATTGAAAAAGACGTGTGGGAGGGAGAGAAGGGGGATCACCTACAGTATTTGCAGTGTTTTTGGAGAGGAAATGACGACAGCTGTGAGTGCAAATTAATGACAGCTGAGTCTGATTAAACCGGGCTGTTGTCATCCCTTCTTCCGAAAAGAATGGGTGCAGACATTGTTTTTGTTGCTAAAGTCGTACTGTATATAGCCATTACTGCACTACCAGGTCTGGAGATTCCTGACTACAGTTGTTTGATGAGATGGCCTTTGATCCAAATGAGCTCCAGTACAGGATGAGCAATAGCAGAACCCCTCCGAGGTCCAGAATGTACAAAAGGTTATGAATGGAAGGGGGCCGGTCAGCTCTGCCAGCCCATCTGGTACTTGGTAGTTAATGGATCCAGAGATCTCATCCAGCTGTTTCTTGAAGGGAGCAAAGAAGTATCGCCTACAGCCACATGGCTGTGTAGCTTATTCTGCACTCCCACAACCCTCAGGGCAAAGATGTGCCTCCTGTTTTTCAGATATTAAGTGAACTTCCACACCGTTTCCATTTGTGTCCTCGAGGATTTTGAATACTTGTTGTCTTCTCTTCTTCTCTGTTCAAGACCAAAAAGGTCCAGTTCCTTCAGTCTGTCAGGGTCCCACCAGTGCGAGTCCCGGGAGTCATCTGGCTGCTCTTCCCAGGACTGATTTCAGAACAGCAAGCTGGAATTATGGAAATACGGAATTAATCATTACATTGTTCTGCTTTGAACTTCCATTTGAAATGCAAATGCCTGCCCGCATTTCAGACCTCATTCTCTCACACTGGTGCAGGCACATCTTTACTGGAAGGGTGTTGTGAACAGTGGAGCACTCATACTGTATCTTGCACAGCAGGGCAGAAGTAAGGCTACAGAGTGCTGTATTCACAGGCACGGTATTAGTGCTATGTTTTGTTTCTCTAGTTTCTGTGGTTCATCACGTCAGGCAGGGTCCATGGTTCTCCCACTAATGTAATGAATTGGCATTTCTGAAGTAAGTTACAGTGAGCAGCAGACCTGCTGGTACTGTGTGTTCTTAGATCACAATAGATGACTTGCTGTTCATCGTAGCTCAAGATGACGGTGGAAATACTGTATTAAAATGGGTTGTTTTGAGGCATGTTTTGTAAAAGCAGGAGTTACTTTCCTGTGGCTGTATGCCGGTAAATTGTTATTTTGCCATTTTTTATTCTAATTTTTTAAGAGATATGGGATAACATTTTTTGTCATACCTAGCCCTCTAAAGGAGCAAGATTCTTTTGTGTGATGTGTTGTTTACATATACAGTACTATCACACAATGCAGTCAGACAATTGGAGTAAGGTACACTGTGGTGCAACCTGATTGTGATAGTCCAGACGGTTGTGTAAAAGGAGGCTTATCATTTAAAGAAGTACATCTTTGTTAAAATAAAACTATATGAAAGCCTTGCTGGACTTTGGCAACAGATTTACTCACAAGTGACAATATGAGCTGTTGCAGAATGAATGCTTTAGAAATTGTGAAAGATTTGCCACACACTGTGGTGTGAGAGATGAAATACTTGGAAAACTGAAATCAAAAGGGTCCATTTATCAGGTCTAGTTTGTTTTGAAATCACCTGAGGGGAATGTTAAGGCGATTTCTACACCTCAGAGTGTCTAATCGTGAATATTATCACACTGTTGAGAAAACATGATTACTGCATATTTTATTGCATTTCAAATTGACCACGTTACCCCCATTTCCCAGTATCTTATCATTGTACATTTCGTTGGCACAGAGTTCAGATTTTTTTCCATTTAATTTCCTCATCATGTCATGAAGACGTTCCTGTTCGCGGTATTTATGAGTAGTAAATAACTATGACTTCTCCCAAAACATCGCTGTCTGTTTGAATTCCGACTGCAATTGGTGGCCAATAAGATAAACTGTCAGAAAAGGCTTAATTCCAATATGGCAGAATTAAGTAGGGCGTTCCGAGACTTGGCAAAAAATTCATCCGTTTGGTCAGTTAACGCTATCCTTTTCATGACAGGTAATTAACGAGCTAAATCTGGACGTGATTCCTGTTAATAAGTAGCTGCGAAAGAATGTAATTTAGTACCGTGGTGTGTATTTATACCGTGCAGTGCTGTGCATTCCGGATATTTATGATGATCAAAAATCATGAATTGGGAAATATTTTTGAAAGTGGACTCGCTATTTATAAATGAACTGCGCGTTCGTAGTTCAGATTTTACGTTAACCGCGCACCTTCCTGCGTGCCTGTCTGCATGTTGGAAGTTTTAGCCCAGAATGCACGACTGCCTTTTTGAGAGAAAAAAGGAGCGATCGTTTGGATGCCGCATTTTTTTTATACCACTGTGCCCGTCACTATCCAGCTGCAAATTCCTGGGCTCAAATGAAGCTTTAAAGTGGATTACTGTTGTTGGAAGGAACACAATTACGATCGCGACGCGAATGAATATCGTTTAAAGGAACCGCGCCACCATTATCTTTGATCAGCGTGATAATGTAAAGAGAGTGTGCTAATTATTCGAAAACAATGTAACACTTAATTGGGCACACCTGCTGTTCATCCAGTACTCTACTGGCTTTCCCGCAACGTCACATAAATTACACTTTTATTGTGTTATTATTGTTTAATCTTCTGCTCTTGCTTTACAAATGTGTGGCTTTAGGCATGAACAGCAATAACCGGCTGCCCGAGTTTCACCTGCAATTTGTGATTACGCACGCAGCCCATTGCGATGCTTTGTGATGTGTGGTTGTGTGATTGCACAACCGCCGAGGAGGGTTTCTCCTGAAACCGTGTCATAGAAGGGGCCGGTGCGGGCGGAGTTCCAGTTGCACTGCTAAAGAGAAAGGGTTTAGAAATAGCATCTTAGTTTGGGCACCTACTGAATCAGCGAGGTCATTCTCGCATCGAGAAACCCACGGCGCACGCTTTCTGTCGAGCGTTTCTATTTGACTTGAGTGGAACAACTTTTTTTTTCTTCTGTGCTTTGTGAGGTCCGCCTCACATATCAACAGTTAAATCGGGAGGCAGCGCCTGCCTATACATTGAAGTCAACTTGGAGAAAGAAAACAAAAGGACATTGTTCATTCGGAGTTGTACAGAGGTTGTTCTTTTAAAATCCTTACATCGTTTTATTATCTGTGAAGAATCGCAGGATTTACTTAAACTAAAATACTGGGATTATCCTAACCCTGTAACTGTATACAGCACTGGGCATCCGCGGAATCCCAAGGAAGACTAAGTCAATGTGGGGGCTCTTGGAAATTCTTTAATATCCGAGTTAAAAGTGTTTGTCTGAATGCTGGCCCACATGAGTTGGAACGCGCAGCGAACCAGTCCGATCCCATTTTTTCGCAATGGGAGGTGCAGATCCAAGAGAGTAGACGCCGAAGAGCCGGTGTCTAAGATCCCGAGGCTGAGCGACTCCGCGAACGACACCGGTTACCTCAGCACTTCCCCGGCGTCCCCGGTCAGCACAGCCTCGCCCGGCACCCCTGCAAGCCACCAGGGTCTCTCTCGGATCTGCCAGTTCCTGCTGCTGCCCGTTTCCGACAGGGAGGGGGTGCACAGCGCACTCCACATAAACACGGGAGAGGAGTTTGTGTGCAAGGTATGGAAACGGCAGAATGAGGGATTTTTAATGATAACAATCGCCCCCTCCCTCCTCCCCCCCGGTTTGGAAGTTATGCATGAGATACGAAAAGCAAAAAAAAACAACACGGGCTTCTTGCCAAATACGCGCATGACGATCCCGCGTGACATCCGTAAATTTTTATTAATTGCACAATAAATTTCGCAATTTTAATGCTTTTACACGGGGCATTTTCATATTTTTGCAGACTGATGGTATTCTGCTTCCATAGATCAAATGATCAAAGCTTATTTTAGTCAATGGATAAGGTCTGGTGAAGTCTGTATCTGATCTGCCTCTAATGTAAGCGCACACACAAAAAAAAACACTTTGAAGCTCATTAACGCACCAGTCGCCATAAAATTATACGAGGAAGGTGATCGTGTTCGCTGCGTTAAGAAATGTTGTTCATTTGTGTACAACCATGGCAGCGCTTTGCAGCACTACTGTCGCTTTTCAACCTGTGTCCTTAAATCCCTTTCTGTATTAAAAAAAAAAAAAGAAACCCAAGTCCTCATGCCAGGTCACCCGATTACACGCCGATTTTCTATCTGCTCACCTTGTCGTCAGCGTATGTCGGCTGGAGAAATGACTGCTAGTACTGGCCTCCAGTTTAAACCCGGCATCTTTCTATTGCAAAAAAAAAACGATCTGGTATTCAACTATTTTGCTTCCGAATAGCCCTTTAATTGTATTTGTCAATGGATTTGGCAGTGTAAGCAAACGATCATGTTGGTTTTTCGTCTACGTTAAGTGGAGTTCCTGCTGATTTGAGAAAACTGAGGTAAGTGTAGTTAAATACGATGAACTTCTTCGTGTTTGCGGGTGCGTTTTATTTATATATATATATTCCCTGTGAGATAACCTGATATATTCACCGTACCAGCCTTGACATTGCATTGTAAAAGATACTATACAGACAGTAACATTGTTTTTTTTTTTCCATCAATTATTAGGTGTTTAGCTTGAAACACTACCAGGAAAAGATAAGACCGCACACCATCGTACCAGCGCACAAGAACATTTCCCAGATTAAGGACATTGTTTTGGGGGACCAGAAGGCCTACGTGTTCTTCGAGAAGGACTTTGGGGACATGCATACGTTCGTGAAAGGCTGTAAGAAGCTGAACGAAACGCAGGCCTCCGGGCTGTTCCGCCAGATAGTTTCAGCTGTCTCTCACTGCCACCAGTCTGGGGTCGTGCTGGGGGACCTAAAACTCAGGAAATTTGTCTTCGCGGATGAAAAGAGGTGAGGATGATTTACATTAGTAGCATTTAAACACGAACTGCAGGGCCGTTCAAAAGGCACTAATGTGACTTGGTACCATTGTGTGGAACTCTTTATTTTTGTATCGCCTCATACATTTATCAGAATACTACATTTGTGTGCGGTAAATTGTTTTATTACATGAAGTCCACTGCTTTCAGCTTACTATAGATGGGGAAAGACAATACTGCCGTTCCACGACGAACTGCCAGAGCTTTTCTCATTTCAAATGATTATTTTTCTATTATATTACTAGCCATTTTATTGTGAGCAATTTGTTACCTCTAGGGCATCAAACGTCTGATGAGTGTTGGTATGGATCTAAGAGAAACAGACTGCAGAAAACACAGTATACCTCTTTGTAAAATGTAATATATTTGGAGGCCTTTGAAGATAATTGAAGATATATTGGAAGACATAAAGTGATTTCAGTACGCACATATGTTTTTTTTATTTCCTTAATGTGAAGGGAGGAACACCACATTTGCCTGCTTGATGCAGCATTTACAATTTTTACAGCATTGATTCAACCACCATGCTTACGTCAGAAACGTATTTAAATTGAAAATACCCGCAACCAAAATAAATTAAGGAACTTTTGCAACTGCAACATACAATACTATAATAGGCTTAAGCAGTTGCTGAAACCCAATATTGCAGGCTGCCTTGCTAATTTTGAAATCTGTGTTGCAGCAAAGGCTAATAACGTCATGTGTCACCAATGTGGCAACAGCAGTTTTAGGCAATTAAGCAGAGGCAGGCAAAGGCACAGGTGCTGGCCATTAGAATAGGGGGCAAAGAAGAGATGAACCGCATTGCTAGCTGAGTCATAGTTTCCACATGCTATACCCTGGAATGCTGTAGAAATGTATTCACACTGTGCACCTATTCACTGTCAGGCCAAGATGAAGCAGAACCTGCTACATATTATTGTTGAATAATGCGTTGCTGATGTGGGTGACCTGTGCGAGCTGACTCCATGTCATCTGCCCTTAGAAGGAGAGATTTGTGGGTGTTTTGTCACACAGGTTTTCCTCCTTGATCCCCATATTAGGAAACAAACAAAAAGGCTTCTTTTATCGTCTTGGAAATGTTGCTAAACTTAGACAAACTCACTTGGCTGATGTGGAGTGATTAGTGCATGCCTTTGTTTCATCAAAGACTAATTACATAATGCCGTAGTCTCTGGTATGTCCCTGCCTCGAGCCCATACTGATCACCGTTAACTTGCTACATTTTCTCATTTTACTTTGGTTTGATACCCCCCTCTGTGTGCTTTTAATGAGAGGCTTGAAGATTTTTTAAATCAATTTTAAAGTGTTTGCCACCCAGTAAAGGCAATCCATATTACGTTCTCTTAGGTGAATTAAAATACATTTTATATCAGCACATTTTTATTGATCAAGTGCACAAGGTGTGCAAGGGATGGCGGTCAGCTTAGTTTTAATTTTTGCATTTGCTTCTTATTTCAAAGGGATATCTGCATTCTTCAGCATTTTTACTAGTAACTGCAGAATTGTAGTTATTTATTTACCACAGTTAACTAGCACATTCCCTAGTAACAGAACAGTTTTCTGATCGCTGAGCTCTGTTTTCTTGCACATCGTAAAAGTTTCAAGGGTCACAATGCATGAGGGACAACATAAATTAAAAAAAAAACAGAGAAACGGAATGATTCTTTCCATCTAAATAATGAGTTAATTTGCATATTGGAAAAAGGAAAGAGAGCAAAAGATTTAAACAATTCCTGAGGTACTGTACCACAATCTGTTTATGTGCAGCAACAAAGCTGAAACAAGCGCAGTAGTAGGTTTTGGAAAACATGTGACTTAATCAATTTTTATTGCAAAGAAGTGGAGCATTCATCTGCAAGATGCAGATGTTCTTTACTCTGTGTTGAATGCTTCCAAAAGTAATCTGCTTTACCAGTTTTGGAATGCATTAATGTTTGTTCAGTTAAAAGGAAAAAATAGTTTTAAAACATTTTGGTTAAAAATGAAGATTAAATTACGTTTCTCATCATCATCTCTTGCCTTTTTGGTCTCAGTAGCTTTGTCTGCCCAGTTCTCATCAAGAGTTCCTCACTGCTGAAAGTTAAAACACCACAAATGCTTCTCGATAAAAAATGAAAATAAACATTTTTTCTTTTTTTTTTTTATTCCTCCAGTGTTTGTTTGAACTTGGCTTCTTCATGTATTGTTTCCCCTCTATGGAGACATGTTCTCTGATATCAGCTGTTGATTGTCACTCACTTTTCAAGATATGACAAAATAAATATTCCCATTTCAACCCATTATTGATATTCTGTATCGGAGCCAGGGATTTCTATGTTTTTTTAAGAATGTCATTTTTTTTCTGTTCTTAGAACTCACTTAAAGCTGGAGAGCCTCGAGGAGACTCATGTGCTGGAGGGAGAGGATGACTCGGTGTCACACAAACATGGCTGCCCAGCCTACGTCAGCCCCGAGATTCTGAACGCCACCAGCACGTACTCCGGCAAGCAAGCCGACGTGTGGAGCTTGGGCGTCATGCTCTACACCCTGCTGGTGGGCCGGTACCCGTTCCACGACGCTGACCCCAGCGCCCTGTTTTCCAAGATTCGGCGGGGACAGTACTGCATTCCGGAGAGCGTTTCGCCCAAGGCCAAATGCCTGATCCGCAGCCTGCTGAGGAGGGAGCCGGGGGAGAGACTCACAGCTGCCGAGATCCTCATTCATCCCTGGTTCCAGAGCTTCCAGGACCTGGAAAGCCCAGGTCAGGAGTCGGAGGCTGGAGACCAAACTGTGCCCACTTTCCATCTGGATGAAGACGAGACCATGGCTTTATTTTGCTGATGGAGTATGTCTAACCTAACCTGACTGAAGCACTCACTTTAGTGTGTTAACAACTTCACAACTGTCCCGTGTTTGCAGTAATTCTCAGCTGTTCACTCTGAGTTTGGTGTAGAATTTCCACAGCCCTCCTAAGGTGATCTCAGAGGTCTAAGGCTTCCTGTTTGCCAGGTTTTGCTGACTGCTTAAGTTCGAATGTGTGGTCATCTATGTACTTCAAAACCCAGGGCTGATGGAGGCCAAGACAGATTCTAAAATACTCTACAGGGAACTCAAGAAGCTTCCAGTCCATTTACTTGACCATGGTTCAGTTTCCTCTTGACATTTTTTTTTAATAGCCTCAGCAAAACCTTAGCCGGTGGAGACACAAACTTGCGAAAGGATGAGATTGTGGAAAAGGTTAAAAAAAACTTGAAGCCACGTACACTTGAATATAAAAGCACTGAATTTCACTCAGGATAGAAAAGTGCTGGAGATTAGCTTACATGCTGAGGATTCCTGTTTGTTTAGCTCTCAACAGAAGAATAAATGACGAATTGCTCAGGCCCTGCATATTCTTCTGTTTCTAGTAGCAGGAAATTCTTAGTTGGAGTGAGTGTCAGAGGTCACTCAAAGACTGTAGTCCTGGGTCTATCAGGTGTCTCGGAGCTTTGAGGGGAACATGCTTTATACAGTCAGCCTCCAGAGTGCTGAGGTGTTTAGTTGCAGTTGGATGAATTAGTCATGTGAAATTAGAAAGCCTAACAAATGCTCTAGTGCAACTTTGCTCTGAAAATTGATTTACAAGCACTTTTTCAGTTTCCTCTTTCTCATATTTATTACTCTGTCCTAGTCCCTGGTTTATATCGCTTTACAGTATTGTTCTGTGCTCTTTAATGCACAGTTCTGGTGTTTTCAATAGGTTTGCACCACCACTATTAAAAGAGTGAATCGACAAATATCGGAACAATACTCAGGACATTTTAATTTATTGCCGATTTGACTATCTCACTTTATGTGGGGAGAAACTGAATTGTTTTTCACTGTTTTAAAGGTTTTTTTTCCCCAAAAACCCTTTGCTTCCTGTCCATTGCCTTTCTTGACTATAAAAGTCATTGTTGGCAAAGTCCCAGAGTTTTTACCTTGGTCTGTAGACAATTACAACACATCTTGAACTTTTGCCTTGTGACCTTGAATGCAATGGGTATCTTACATAAATCTGTTCTTAAGGTAAATGGAATGTATAATGCATACATCCTGCACAGTTTGCTGTACATATGGCATAATTCTCAATGTTGTCATTAAATAGTATTATGTCAAGGATGAGTAAATGTGAACTGTCGTAGCCAATAGTTACTTGATGTTGGAGATTGAGACTCAGTGTGTGACAGGAAGGGGGTGTACAAACTTCTAATTGCACTGTGCATTTTGTGGTTGTTCTAGAGCTCTTGTATCTGTGATACAATCTTAATGCCTGATTAAGTCAAGCTGTAGATAGTGTAAATGTTACCCAAAAAGCTACATAGTACAACACTAATGTAAATATGTACATTAAAGAAATATGGACAAGGTTAATAAAACTGAATTTTTTTTCCACGTTTGTTTACTAGAGCATTATTTCGACTGAGCAGGATTGATCAGGGTTCTCTCGGGTGTTCGTGAACAAAAGGTCACCTGTGCAAGTTACATTTTGTACATGAAGAATTTGAACGGAGGAAGAAATACTCCCTTACCAAAACAAACAGCTGTTTGATATGTACACATACTGTCCCAGCACCCTCGTTCCGTGTTTCATACGAAAAGCACTTACTGTGCGTGTGTGGAAATTAGTCACCCTGTGGAGATCGTTTCCCAGTCGCAATCCTACCATTCCTCGGTGCAGATGTCCGGTCTTTTGCATAGTTTTTATCTAGAAGAATCCTAGTTTGAATATAGTGTGTGTGTGTATATAGTACATTTACGCACATTCAAAGGTGACTGATTTTTGTAATTGCAGTCAAAGGCTATATTTTTTTAAAACGTGCCTTGCTGATGTCATCACTTTTACTGTACGTCATTACAGTTATCGAAACATGATCAATGTGGTGAATGCCTGCTTAATTTGTACATCACCCGTCTCGCAGTTACAGAATATCCGTGTCATTTTTTTTCTTTGCAATTGCGTTGGCTTTTCTTGTTTTTCGCGTCCTTTCTCCCATGGTGTTGCAGTCTGCTCTACAGTAAACCGGTCAGTTGCAGGTATCCCCATGGATCTGCTATGATTTTATACCTCTTGCGTAAACTGCTGATTAGGGAAGGATTAGGTATCAACAGGGTAGCTGAAGCATTATAACCTCTGGTAAATGGCCAAGCAACGTTGCATGCCATCAGAGTGCGATTGCCTAACATGTCAGAATTAGCCTTGGGTGTAAAGCTGATAATAAAGACTGTAACTGAGATAGCTGTTGCTGGGTTTTGTCATCTTTGCGATGATGAACAGGTTTGATTAACTCCAGGAAAGTGCTTTTGAAACACAAATAGCAGCAAGCTGAAGACCTTTTACCAAACGTGCGTTCCGAGTTCTTTAGAGGCAGTTTTACTTCTGCGCTACACCCTGATCAAACCGAAAGTGTGCGTCTCAAGGACAGCTTCTTTCTCAGCGCACTAGAATTTTAAAAACATGTCCATCTGTTAACTGTGTTATATCGTGCTGAAAAGTTTAAAGTGCTGCGCAGAGGAACTCCAACCAGTCGAGAGGTTGGGGATATTTTAATATATAACATTTTGTTAATGCGCGCAGCCCGACAGAAGAGGTTCCAGTTGGGAAGACCAGTGCCTAGACGTGACCACTTTCAAAAATGCGGAAGACCAGTGGACGTTAAAGAGAAGGTTTAATGGTAATATAATATTTACCAGTTCAAGTTAACTGGAGCCGTTTGAAGTAGTCCATCCCAGTGACTCTGTTCAAACCATTAGAAACCAATTGCAATTTCCTCTAGCGCAAAAAAACGTGAGACATCTGTTTGACAACTGAATGGGCTTGTTGTGAAGCTGGGAAGGACTACACCCTATGTTAATTTAGATTATATTTTAATGTCTGTTTTCTTGTAGAAATATATAGGCTGGATAACTGAACTAAAAAATAAATCTCACAAATATATACAATTTATCGAATTGTATTTAAAATGTTTCACTGTAGCACCAGTAATGCATAACTTGCGATCTTTAACCACAGGCGAAAGGTGACCTCCGTTATCCGATATAATCTTTGTGTCATTGTGTGAAGAAACTGTGGAAAACTAAATACGCTTCCTTCTTGCGCCATCTAGTGGAATTGCAGTGGTGCTGGCTTTCGGGCAGTTGCACGTAAAAAGTCTACGGAGTTTGTATAACATTCAGGGAGAAAGGACTGTGTGTATACCTTTTTAATAGTAATCTGCACTGAAGTGCTTTGGATGCTGTGAGACGTGTATAATCGTTTATCTCTCATCCAGGTCCTAAAAGATGTCAGACAAAGCCTGTATTCGAGATCCAGACCTTAAGTCTAAAGGTTATTTTAGTTCTGTATGCTAATGATATTAAATTCCTATTAAAATATAAACTCCCTACAGTCTGGAGTCTGGTGTCAGACTTCAGTCATACCCTAAGATTTCTCAAGGTTTAAAGTGTGAACACAATCACATATTCTGAGCCAGTCCCCTTGACAGAAAGAGGCGTTATTCATTCAATTATCTTTTTGCTTGGACAGAATTAACAAGGCTATATTTACAAATTTAAGGGTATTTAAAAAAAAACCGTGTCAATTTGGAGATTCAAGACATGGCTAAAGGGCAGGAGCAGGGAAGGGGGTTTGGAGGCATTGGGGGTCCCCCTGGAACAACTGGGCTCTGTGAAGGAGGAGTTGCATTTGAATCAGATGGGTCTAGATGTGTCTGTGAAATGTAGGCATAACGTAGGAGAATTTAAATTTGGGAACTGTGGGCTAGAGTGCACACAGAACGTATTCAAGATCATGCATGTGACTGGATTGACAACTGCTTAATATATAGCAAACACATAGTACGACAGATAAGATGTAACTGTTCATATTGGGGTGATGTCATTGGTTTGTACCTCAGTGACGTGTTAGAACCACTGCTCTACCTGTTAAATATACACGATGAATACATATTCATTACTGACCAAAAAAAAAAAAGAATATGGTGCACTGTTTTGCTCAACCCCTTAAACAAAGAGATTGCTGAAATGAAATGAGTTCAGAGAAGAAATATATACCAAGGCTTAAAGAATGTTTTACTCTGCCAGGCTAAAAGAACTGAATCTTTTCCGTCTCGAAGAGGGAGACTTCAAGGGTGCCTGATTCATGTGCTCAGAATCCTCAAACCCAGCAGACTTCTCCAGAATGAGCAATGACTCACGAACCCAAGGACTCGAGTAGAAAACAGAGAACAAGAGGAGCCTTTTTACTCCAAGTTTTGCGGGAGACAGAGCTCAGTTAGATCCTTGGATCAAAAAGCTACTGCCCTCCAACCTGGCCAGGTGGACCAGACAGTCTCCTCTCGTTTGTTCTTGTAAAATCAGATAAACCAGGGGGGTTATTTCTCACTGGGTGTTCTGGACCGTGAAGTAGACAGGGGTGTTCTAGCTTGTTCACCACACCCTAGGCCAAAATAAAGGCTTGACATTTCCAAGACCTTTATGGTTGTTGCTATCATTGTGTACATGCTCCTATTCAATTCAATAGGGGAGCTTTGATAAACATTGAAAGAATCACAGTTTTCCGATTGTCTAATTTCCTGTATATGAAATAAACATCGGCAAGGCTTTTGGACAGAATTATTTTATTCAATTCAAAATCCGTTATTCATCCCAGGAGGGCAATTTAAGCGGCAAGCAGTGCAACATACATCGCAAGACAAAAACAAAGGCCACCAAAAAAAAAACTTGAAAAAAAGTATACATAGGTATAATAGCAAACGGACCATAGACGTGATTGACCATAATAGTGTGTAGTATTAGAAAGGTACTGTATTAGTACATCACATTTCAGGGATCCGGCAGGTAGTTCTCTGGGGATTATTCATGTCTTTCCTGTGTCTGGTTGTGTTGCCTATTTACCTCCTGTCTCTGCTTTGCTCCTGGCTCAGCCTGAGGGTACAGATGTCCTGAGACCCACCTAGCACCAGATCTCCCCACGTCTGTGGCCTGAGGGCATAGGTTTCTATACCGACATCATCTTAACCCCTTGAGCCTGGGCTATCCTCCATGTTGTCCCCTTTTTCCGCTACACACAGGGTCTCTACTGCTCTCCTGGCCATTCCACGGCTTGCTCTTCCGACATCCGTAACACAATCGCAGTATTGTGAAGGTGTCATCTTCATAACATTGCCCGTATCTGCTCACAGGCATGTTATGAACTCAGCTGCTTGGATCTTAACCAGCACCAAAATGCACACAAAGTTCCTTGCACTGGTTCCCCTAGATTTTGGAATAAAGTTCAATTTCAACGTTAAGAGCTTGAGCGCTTTAGTGAAACAGCGAAGTCTGCATGTTGCTTGCCATTTTTAGAGTGCAGTCTGGTCCTCTCCAGTATGAAGCTCAGAACTGCTGGAAGACTATTTATTTCTGTGCTGTTGCTTCAAAGTTATGGAATGATATCCCAACCCAGACTTTTCAAGATAGCTGGACACTTTTCAAATGCATTTACTTGTACTGGTGTTTGTATTTAGTGTATTGATTTTTTTTTATAAATGTATGTCGGTGGGTTTTGCCTTTGTCTTGATTTATTCTAAAGTGCCTTGAGACAATGACATTAAAAGTGCTATATAAAAAAACATATTATTCATACTCATCAACTCATCGTTAAATTAGAAATTGAAGGCTTATACACTATACCCCTTAATAGAATGGAAAAGTGCAGAACAACCACAAGTGGTCACTAGAGTGTGCTCTTCTAATAAAGATTCATCACCCCAATTGCTCCACAGAAAGCAGAGTGATTTCTGTGTTGACTCATAGAAGATAGTATAAAACGCAGAAGAGGCCAAGAGTTACCTGCTTCAGCCCTTTATGTCTGTTGGATCTGAAATTCTGCTTTCCAAGA